TTGATCACTTGGTTAGGTGGGGTCTGCTGGGTTTCTCTACCGTAACATTACTTGTTTTCTTTTTCTATGCTCTATTCGTTAGAGGTGAGTCTCTGAGTTCAGCCCATAGGGTTCCAGGATGACTACCATGCTTTTCCCTGTACATCCCCCTGGCAGCTCCTGATTGGTAGATGGATTGGTTCCCCAGCCAGGTTGGGTAATGAGTGCATTTTCTGAGACCTTGGACATGGAAGACACAGTAGACTGTCTTTCTCTTTCTCTCTCTCTCTCTCTCTCTCTCGCTCTCTCTCCAGGTGCCTAATTTTTGGAATTAGATACCCACTGAGGGCACTTTTTCAGTTCATCATGTACAGAAAGCTACTCTCTGGTATGAGAGAATGGGTCTGAGTTTCCACCTTTGTGAAAAGGGGATAACAATATTGGCCTTGCAGAAACCTGAGGATCAAATGAGATGATCCAGGCAGAGCACGTGGCCCAGGGCCCAGCATGTGGTTGGTTCTCAATAAACATCAGTTTCCCTTTGTCCAGGCTCTTCGTGGGTCCTCCACCTCTGATGCGCTGAAGCCTGGCAAGTTATAGCCACCATACAGCGTAAACGACTATAAGCTAACTGTTCACAGAAGGGGATTTTATGTGATGAAGCAATAAGAGAACACAAAGTTATCATTTCTGTGCCTTTTGTCTCTCTTTGGTAAATCAAAGCTAGAGAGGTCTATGTGGGCACCATTGCTAACAGAACTGTAATGATTTCTCTCAAATCCGATGAAGTCTCAGTTTCCCTCTGTTAAGAGCTATGTGTTTAGCCAACGTGTCTTCTCCCCTTTCCTTACAGAACTTCAATGTTGGCCACGTGCATCTCTCATTTCCACATCACACAGGGCAAGGGGGTGCTGATCTCCTGGTTCAGAGAGTGGATTGTAATTGGCATAAACCAATAATAGCAATCCCAATCCCCGTGCCTATGACTGGTTCAGGATGGGCATGTGACCCACATTTGACCAGTGAGTTATAAGGGAAAGTCTGGGGCACTCTGGGACAAACTTCTCTTCTTTGAGAGAGATCCGTAGGAAGGCAGAGCCCCTTCTATGTCCCCTGAGTGCTCTTCTGTCTGGATAGTATGTGCGTGTCTGTGGCACCACCTAAAACCATGAGGGCTGCCAGCTTGAAGGCAATGCCAGCACATTAAGGACATCACCGCAGTGAGATGGACTAACCTGGGCTCTGATGGTGTTGATCTAAACCCCATTCTGTGCCATGGATTTTCCCTCCCTTGGACTCATTGTTTTGTTGTTGTTGTTTGTTTGTTTGTTTAGAGATCAGGTCTTGCTCTGTTGCCAAGCCTGGAGTGCAGTGGCGTGATCATAGCTCACTGCAGCCTCAATCTCCTATGCTCAAGTGATCTTCCTGCCTCGGCCTCCCAAGCAACTGAAACTACAGATGCATACCACTGTGTCCGGCTAATTCTTAAATTTTCTTTTTGTAGAGATGAGGTCTTAATTTGTTGCCCAGGGTGGTCTTGAACTCCTGGCCTCAAGGGATCCTCTTGCCTAGGCCTGCCAACATGCTGAGGTTACAAGGGTTGAGCCATTGTGCCTGGCTGGACTCCTTATTAAGTGGGATAACTTACCTTATTCTCCTTTAAGGCAGTCGGAGTTGGGTTTTCCATTGCTTGTAGCAGAAAGCAAATAGATACAGTATACCTTTAGAAAAATCCTCTTGTAAACAAGCAATCTTTTCAGAAGACCTCAGTGGAGACTCTTACTAAGATCTTCTTTCAACAAGGCTGATGTTTTTATCTGAGAGGTAAAGTATGGGAATCAGGGATTGAAGGGGAAGAAGAGGCAGGATATGGGCATTGGACAGAGGGAAAGCCAACTCCCTAAGAAGAGAAGCAGATGGGAGAAAAGAGCTCAACCCAAAGCTTCTAAAGCTTTTATTGCTCTTGCAAGAGAGATGAAGGACATGTCTCACAGAGTATATTGCGTGTCAGGCAATAGGAGCTCTAAATACATGATTTTATTTAATCTGTATGCTGGTTTTCTAACATATTATTACTGGGGCTCAGAAATCTCAAGTTACTGGTCCAAGGTAACACAGCCAGATCATTCTGATGCTAAAGTCCTGCTCCTTTCCTTTATCACCTGAATCCAACCTTCAAGTTCTCCAGAAATGTCTCAAATCCATCTGTTTGAGAGCCACTGTGATGTAGTGGTAGATCACGGTGATGTGCTCTACATCACTGATCCATCTACATCTTCAGGCTTCCCCCACTGAGCCACCCCGCCATGGTGTCTCTCCTGGATTGCTGTTTCATCTATCCAACTGATATCCTCCCAGTTTCTACCCTTGTCCCTACCCCTACCCCATTGTCTTTTGTCTACACAGTAGCCACTCCCCTCCTTAAACAGTTCAAGGGCATCTCATCACACAAATCCAAAATCTTCCCTGGGGTTCCCTAGAACTTCCATAATCTGGTCCTGCTTGGCTCAGCAGCCACATCTGTACCAATTTTCAGTCAACTCACTAAGTTCCAGCACCTTGGCCTCCTTACTGTTCTTGGAAGAACTGAGGGTAACTCTGAACTCAGGGCCCCTTGCCTGTTGGTCTTCTTTGCCTGGAATGCATCCTCCATCATCTCTTTTCCAACTTGCTGGTCTTGGCAAAGGAGGCGTTCATTGAGCACACCAAGGTAGCTCCCCTCTCTGGGTCGCCCTGTTATTGTGTGGGCAGGTGGGCCAGTGTCAAGACCTTAGTAACATCCAGAGCCCTCCAAGATGGAGGTTTGGAGGGCTCTGGGGCTAATACTTCAGAGGTATAGACATAAAATGTCATATAGAAAAGCATATCCACCAATACATTCTTGTCATGACCACAAAGAGTGAGCGGGGAAACTCTATGGAAGAAGATGTCTAGAAGGCAAGTGAATACATTCTGGGTTATTTGATTTTGGTTTCTGTGAGAGAATAGGACTCTCTGACAGCTCAGAAGGGAATCTCTGCACATTTTCCTCTGCCAGTCGTGTCTGTACCTTACTCATTTCTCCCACAATGAAAGAGAAATGTCCCTTCTGATAGGTCTGAACCTGAGCCATTGATGGGGCCACTATTACTAATGGATTGGGCTGCTGTGCTTGGCACCCTTGAGTCTGCTGGTACCAAGGTGAAATTTTGGGATGATTCCAGGGCCTTGCTAAGGCTTTGGTACTGTGCTTCTTGCTTTGACTTGACCTTCAATATTGATATAGTCATTTTGATTCCTATTTTGAGGTTTCCCTAACTCTCTTGGGAACATGGTGTGGTGGTGGGGAACAGAAGAGAGCTTTGAGACAGATGGAGAAAGCTGATTGGTCAGGCAGGACTCAGGTTTCTCTTGGTCTTGGCTAAAATCTGTTAGAGAACTTCCCAACCTCACTCTTAATTGTTAAGGATTAAAAATATGATGCGTGTCTTAGTATGTTTAGGCTGCTATAACAAAATATCATAAACTGAGTAGTTTATAAATGGCAGGAATTTACTTCTCACAGTACTGGGGGCTGGGAAGTTCAGGATTACGGCTGATTTGGTGTCTTGGCAGGATCTGCTTTTTGATACCTTTTCCCTGTGTCCTCACATGGTAGAAGGGGCCAGAGAGTTCTCTGGGACCTCTTAGGGCATTAATTCTGTTTATAAGGGCTCCACCCTTATAGCTCAATCACCTCCCAAAGACCCTACTTCTCAACATCATCACCCTGGAGGTTGACATGTCAACATATGAAATTTAAAAGGACACAAACATTCAGACTGAAGCAATGTGTGAAATTAATTTCTATTTAGAAAATGCTATTGAATTAAGCACAGAAGGTGGTTGCACAAATGGATTTTTAGAAATAGGATGATGCAAGGATGGCAGCTATGTTGCCTGGGAAAGGCTCATGTGTGACTTGCCACTCTCCCTGCTAGGTGGAAAGAATTAGAAAACGTGTGTTGAGGGTGGCAGGGGATAAACATGAAACACAGAAACACCGACAGGGAAATCCATTAATCATGTTTGTCTGTGATCACCCAGGAAGAAACAGGTATCTGTTCTTTGTGGCAGTCGCTAATGGAAGAGACTGTGCTGTGATTTCATGTTTGAGATTGGAAGAGGAAAGGGGACAGATAGCAAATGATGCCACAGGAGAGGCACAGTGCGTGGGCTGAATCATCAAAGTGACATGTGTTTGCTAAACGTGGCTCAAGTTAGGGGCTGGGGTGGGGCATGTCTGTGCAACTTCCATATCCACTGAGGACCCACCTTGAGGCAGCTCTGTGCTGGGGGCTGCCTGTGCACAGCCCACCCTATGGAGCCCACAGCCTCCAGCGGGGAGAAGTGGGGCACAAAACCATCAACTGGGCAGTGTGACAAGTGCCGTGGAAACCAAACTACATGAAGCAGAGACTGTGTAGCGGACTTCTGGGAGGGCCTGGTTCCATGGGAGGAGGGTCACAAGAAGAGGGTGACTGATATGATTTGGATTTACGTCCCACCCAAATCTTATTTATTTACGTATTTATTTATTTATTTTGAGACAGAATGTCACTCTGTCACCCAGGCTGGAGTGCAGTGGCGTGATCTCAGCTCACTGCCATGTCTGTCTTCTGAGTTCAAGCAATTCTCCTGCCTCAGCCTCCTGCGTAGCTGGGATTACAGCATGCACCACCACTCCCGGCTAATTTTTTTGTATTTTTAGTACAGATGAGGTTTTACCATGTTGGCTAGGTTGGTCTCGAACTCCTGACCTCAGGTGATCCTCACGCCTCCCAAATTGCTGGGATTATAGGCGTGAGCCATGGGACCCGGCCCGAATCTCATTTGAAATTGTAATTCCCAATATTGGGGGAGGGGCCTGGCAGGAGGTGACTGGATCATGGGGGTGGATTTCCCTCTAGCTGTTCTCCTGATAGTGAGTTCTCTCACAAGATCTGGTTGTTTAAAAGTATGTAGCATCTCTCCTGCTTTACTCTTTCTTTCTTTTTCTCCAGCCATGTAAGACATGCCTGCTCCCCTTTACCTTCTGCCATGATTCCAAGTTTTCTGAGGCCTCCCCAGCCAGGCTTCCTGTATAGCCTATGGAACTGTGAGTCAATTAAATCTCTTTTCTTTATAAATTACCCAGTCTTAGATAGTTCCTTATAGCAATGTGAGAACGGACTAATACAGAGACTTTCAATAATACTGACCTGGGAAGTGTTATTGGTTAAGGCTCCAGTTTGGAAAAAGCTCAGGGGTCAACTGGTGAGGGCAAATCGACTATACATTCCCCTGCAAATTCTTCCCGCTGGGAACCCACAGGGCTGAATTGCCAAGCTCTGAGACCCACTGGCTTTTGCAGGTGAGTGAAGCAAATGTGCATTTGCCATCCGCCCACTTAGTGTCCCAGATGTGTCTTCTAGATCAAGGCTCTGCAACTTGTTCTCTAAAGGGCCGGGCGGTAAATATTTTCAGCATTGTGGGCCACAGGGTCTCTGTTGCAGCTGCTCAGCACTGCAGTTGTAGCAAGAGAACAACCATAGACTATACAGAAATCAACAGGCATGGCTGGTCTGGCTACAGACAAAAGTTCTAGATCCTTGCGACTCACAGCATGGGCCCTGACTCGGTATTGTCAGCATGTCCTGGTGCACCACTGGTCTGCAGCTGGTCCCGGTGCACCTGAATTCCCATTCATAAGGTAAATCCTAACACAGATTCTTGCGTGGGAATGGGTTTCTTTAATCAGATTGCTTTCTTGGCAGTGCTTTACTGGGAGTGGGGGTTCGGATGAGGGAAGGGCGAAACTCATTTGGAACTTGGAGATCACGGAAAGGTGGCTCTGAAGGGGGTGAATGGGGACTGGGCATGCCACTGGAGGGTAGCCCCTGGGAAAACACTGGGACCTGCAGAGGAAAAAGCTCTGGGAAGTGACAGTGGAGCCAGGTGGAAGACAGGAGGGTGCCAGAAGTAAGTCGTCCCTAAGCAGAGTTTGTTGATTGCTCCTTTAGGAGCCAGGCACTGTCAGGACAGGAGGGTGGGATCAGGAGATGGACATGAATCTGACCCGGCTTCTTTGAGGGAGCCTGAAGGTAAGAAGGGTGAGGCATGGGTGAGAGTAACGTGATGCTGCAGTTGTCAGCAAGCAAAGGCATGATGTAAAGCAAGCAGAGCCATGAGTGACAGCAAGTGTGTGCGAGAGTTCGTGGAGGAGGTGGCGTCTAGCTTGGGTGGGTGGTGCCATGAGCCCCAGAAGACATCATGGGAGAAATGGAATTGGCCTTTGAGAAATGGGAATTTTAACATGTACAGATGAGCGCTGAAAGGCATCCCCAATAGAGAGGACAGGACGAATGAAAGCAGGAAAGTGGAAAATCAAAAAGTCGGTATGAAAAGGAAAATACTGGTTTATTGGCACCTGTGCGTGTGTGCTGTATAAAGGTTTGAGTGGTAATGTGAGGGAATGTTAAAGTGTCTTTCTCTTGATGAAGAATTTTCTGTACTTTTTCCTTAGTGAATAGATGGTACCTTAGGAAATACAAAATAGTAACAATAATCATGTAGATTGTGATCAAGTTAGGTAGAGTCTCGAATTGCCAAGCTAAGTTTGATTTCATCTGTGGGCTGTCATTTCATCATTGGCTTGGTGTCCACACCACCAACCATGGCCATTTCTGTGTTTCTAATTAAACTTGAGTCTCTTCACTCTAAGAGGAACGTGGCCCATCCCACCCAACCCTGAAGTAAGAACAAAGTGGTGAGAAGGAATGTCCAAGAAATAGTTTATTCCAAACAAGAAATGCCAACTTGAACAGAACCAGAAAATCTGGTGTTCCTAGAGCAACTTCCAGCTCCTGCCCCTAATTTGTGAACTCAGCCCAGTAAAAAAAAAAAAAATCTTAAGAGCCTCCAGGGTCACAGTGAGGAGAGGAGCAGGCCCATTATTTCCTGGGGGAGGTGGGGAGCAGGTTGGTTGTTGATGGAGACGTGAAGTAAAGAAAAGTGTGCAAAACAAGTCGACTGACGAGGACCACACAATCCAGAAATACCCTCAGTTCAAAGGAGGAAAACAATGACTATTTCTTTTTTTTAAAACAAAAATATAAAACCTCATCATACATTAAAATGTCTTTTAATAAATCTAAGAGATGACATGGACAGCCCCAAGGATTGAGTAATCATGTGAAAAGTGAACAATGGAAGGTGGATGAAAAAATAAAAACACAATCGAACTTCAGCAGGATGTAACAAATATCAAAGACTCCAGGAAGACCATTTGGAAGAATCCTACACAGGAGGCTTGTTTGCACAGAAAACTGACCTGCCAGGTGAGTGAAGGAAGAAAGTATCTAAATAATGATGATAATTATGCTGACAAAAAAGGCCATTCAATGAGTCATCCAATGCTTGTGGTTACACACAGGATCTTCTTTAACCCTATAACTCCCCTGCAACGTTAGTTTTACCGTCCTCATTTAAAAATGAGGAAACTGCCATTCAGAGCGATTGCATGCTTTGCCTAAGGTCTCCCACTTAGTAGCCAGCAGGGCTGGATTCTCAACACAAACCTGACTCCAAAGTCGAAGCTTTCCCTGCTTATCCCAACATCTTCCAGTTCAAAGGCAAGCTTCTCCCTGAGCAGATCGTAGTTTGCTTTTTGTGTGAACCCATTTTCTTCCTGAAATAAACTTTCTAAGCACCCATGCTTCCTAATGTATAAAGAGGGAGCCGCCTCACCAATACAGATGGGGTACTCTGTGTAAGAAGATGCTGACAAGCTGATTTTACACCCTTCCCAGGAGAGAACACCCTGAAAGCCGATAGAGTTGGAGAGTTCTGCTGCAGGTCTGGGCTTTCGGGCCAGTTGGATGGGGTGCTGATTACACTCTGTAGGAGTAACCCGACTCTCATCTGAATGGACACCTGTGTGCCATCCCAGCACAAAGGATATGGTGGTGGTGAGGACTGCTGAAATGAAAAGGGTGGTCTTCTTAAATGAGGGGAGGAGCGAGACCGCAGCGCTGAGACCTTGGGGACAAGGCTGGTCTGCATGTTGCACCATCTTACAAGGTCAGAAGGACTGTGGCCTGCCAGAGAATGCACATGAAGACACTTCAGGTTTTGTTTCAGGATTTGGGAGTGTTGTTTTCACAGAAGGGGCCAAAATATCAGATATTTATTTTGCTGTCAGGGCTGTGTTTTTCGAAAGTGCTCTCTAACAAGCTAGGATGTGCCAAATTGCAAAGTCATGACGGTTTAATTGCTTTGGGGAATGGGGGTTCACTTCACATATTAAGGTTGCATTTTGCACGTAAAAATGGTTTTATAAATATCAGAGGTTTTTCATGTTTCCTATCTAATTGGGCTCTCCCCATGATCTTGTAATTTGAAGTGGGGCAGAAGTGTTTTACCCCTTTGGCAGATGCAGAAAACTGAGGCACAGAGAGGGCGTGACTTGTCTGAGGTCACACAGTGAATCAGTCATGGAGATGGGACCAGAACCCAGGCTTCCCAGCTCCAAGTCCGGGGCTCTTTCTGCATCTGATGTTTTCAGGGGCAAGACAGGGACCTTCCGGGCATAAAGAGGGGCTCTGGATGGGCAGGGCGGAGACGAGTGCAGTCCTGTTGAGCAGCAACAAGTGTGGGCTTAGCTGCTGCAGCCGCGGGTGCAGGTGGTGGTGAGGAGGTTGTTGTTGCACCCGTCCTGGAGCTTGCTTTGGGCCTGGCCTCCAGCTCGGCTGTCGGTGTCCAAGAGCTGGCTGCCCTGTCCCTGCTGCCTCCTGAGCCTGCAAACAAGCACAGATCTGAGTTAGTGGTGCGGCACGGGGTTGTGGAGGCACGTCCAGGAGACACACTGGGCAGGCAGTCAGCTCAAACCCACCCCTGCCTGGAAGGATTGATCATTAAGGCATCCAGGGTGCTGTGGACTAGAGCCAGATGGGCCTGGGATCAAAGCACAGCTGAGGCACACTTGGGTGGGTTACTTAATGCATAGACTCTCAATTTCTCTGTCTACAGAATGGAGATAATAATTCCCATCTTGTGGCTCCTTGTGATGCTTACTTGAGATCATATATTTATATTTTTGTTTACATCATATATTTATATTGCCCAGGCTCACAGTCAGTAAAGGTGGTGAGTCCCAGCTGTCATTCATTCAGTATATATGTATTAACTGCCCACTAGTGTACCAGCCACCATGTCTAGGAGCAGGGGATCCTCTGGCAAGCCAAACAGTCATATTCTTTGTCCTCAAGGAGCTCAATGTCGAAAGGGGAGACAGGCACTAATGAAATAATCCCACAAGTAAATATCCAAACAGTTAAACACAGACTTACAAAATATCCTATTACAAACTATGTTGAGGGGGTGTGATTCTGAACACTGCATTTCCTAGCAGTTGGCCACTTGGTCACCTTTCACGTGTTGGAAGATGTCAGTGTCCCTCTGTTTCTGATCTTCAAGCTAAAGTTCAGTCACTATACCACAGCTGTCACTGCCTGTGGATGGCGGCAGCGAGTACGGAATGGAGACATTTAAGGAGGCAGTGAGAATTTTTAGAGCAGGGAAGAACTCAACTCATATCCTGGCTCGCAGCACTTTCTACTTGGGTTATGTTAGTCAAGTTGCTTTATCTTCTTCTTAGCCTCAGCTTTCTTATGTAAAACTAGGAATTATATTGTTCACTTTGCAGGAGGCTAAGGGGATCATAGACAATACATGTAAAATATCTAGTATAGGGCTGGGAATAATAATAATTACTCTTAGTTCTACCTTGTTCTGAAAAAGAGGTTTTAGCCTGAATTTTAAAACTAGTATGTTTCTTTCCAACAGATTGCAGAGCGGGTTGTTGTCAACACCTGTTGTCTTGATTTAAATGAAAGAGCTGTTTCACCCAGCAAGCCTCTGTGTATGCTTGTTATATGCAGGGTCCTCAGGGTTATCCTAAGATGACTACAACAGTCTATGCCCTTAGACAGGTCATGGTTGTGTGTGTGAATGTGAGTGTGTGCAAAGTGGGAATGCCTAGTGTTTGCAACAATGCTGGT